GCATAAGGAGAATTCATGGATTTTTGTAAGATCAGCTGTATTATAGACGTACAGTGCTATCGGAATGTATACGTTTTACTCATAAGTGCAATCCTGACTTTCGTGAGCCTGAATCAGCCGCGAATCAGATAGCAAAACTTGACCGGCCGCTTGGCCATGCACAAACCGCGTAGTAGAGTAAACTATCCGTCCTTTCGGGAGCCCAGCGTTTCTATCCTAGTCGCGCGTATGTACGACCCCAGTGATCGCCTCCGACTGATCCAGCGTGGGGTGGTTTTTTCTTTCCTGCTCTATCGGCATCCTTGGGTCGCGAGTATTTCAAAGGGTTAGGGTAGCATGAGCTATTTGAGTCTTGTGCGTGCGGCAAACGAAGTCGCAACGGAAAAATAGCCGGCACCGCTAATAACAGCCGTGTCTCTTTGCAGCCCTCAGAAAACCAGTGGCCGACGAGTGCATGGGCTACGACCTGCACGCGGCGGCCCTACCTAGCTCCTTCATGTAGATATGAAACCACGGCAAGGAGCGCAAAGTCGAAATGCGAGCGTCTTGCTCCGGGCACGAGCGTCGAGCGAGGCCTCTTTCCGGTTCCCGGCTGCATAAGTAAAGGGTGCAAGTTCCTGTTTCTTACATGGGCGTCTAATGCGTAAGCTACCTTCATTAAAGCGAGTAAGTCCATAAGTAAGTTGTGACTACCCAAATTTTCCAACTCTTCTGGCGAATGCCGAAAACGGTAGCCGCGCCTTCTCCTTGGAAAAGTGCTCCTAAAACAAATGGAATACGGACTAACTCTATTGATCTGGCATAGAACTACAGTAAATCAGGAGAAGAATGAGCAAAAAATGAAAAATCGTCCCAAACTTGGAGCAAGAAAAATGGCCACATTGGCTGGTAAACTTTCCAACTCAGCGCAGACGACGCGAACGGAGGTGCGCACGCACAATAAATGTCAGCAGAGATATTACACAGATGAAAGCGCGGCAGGCAGCACAAAGAGTCCCGAGAAGATTCTAGCAGTAAACAAAAGAAAGTACGAGAGAGCTACGGTCGTAGCAGATCGCGGGCAAGAGAGCGGTCACAGCCGCCGGTTCTGGTCGAGCGCCTCCAGCGCGGCGTTCGTGCGTATGTGCACGGCGTTCTGCGGGGGAAGTTCAGTCTCGGGGTGACAGCGGGCAGGCGGGCAACAAGACGCACCTCCATACTGTACTTGCCCTGCAACAGAAAAAGAAAGAAAGAAAAAACGCGTTCGATCAGCGAGAGGGGCCGTGGCGGGGACAGTAGCCAGCGACGTACCTTGCGCGTCGCGGGCGGCTGCTCGAGCGGCTTGCCGGACATGACGAGCTCGAGGTGCCGGCGCGCGCCCGCGACGTCGCCCTTGCACGCCAGGAGCCGGCCGAACTCGTAATCTACAGATGGGGAGGCGGTAAATTCACAACGTAAAAAAAAAAAAAAACGGGCGGGACAGGCACGGGACGGGCCGGAAGACGGGGAGACTCACGCGTGTAGTACACCAGGTAGTGGTCGTACTCGATCTGCGGCGCGTCGCGAAGCACGGCCTCGAACGCCGCGACCGCACGCGCCTCCGTGTCCGCCCGCGCCTCCGCCGGCTCCTCGACGACGTCCGCCGCGTCCGGGTCCTGCGCGGGCACAACGTTGAACCTCCCCATCAGGATCCCCCCACAAACAGCAGAAAAGAAAAAAGGGCGGACACACCGGGTGCGCGAGGTACCGCAGACAGATGCCCTGGAGGAAGTGCGCGAGGCAGCGGTCGTCCCAGTAGCCGTGCCCGCCCTCGTAGCGCGCGGGCGCTTCCGCGCACGCCGCGAGCCGCGCGAGCGCCGCGTCGACCTGCGGCAGCATGCGCCCGCGCACGACGTCCCGCGGCGCGTGCGCGATCGCGAGAAATATGTACGCGAACTCGAGCCCCGCCAGCACGAGCCGGCCGCCCTGCGCCGCGAACTTGCGTGCCTTGCGCGCGACGAATTTCTAGAATGCGCGCAGTGCGCGCGCGTCAGTGGGGAGACGTGAGAGGAAAGAGGGGAGCGGGGCGGGGCGGGGCGCACCTCAAGCGGGATCGACTTGCCCGCGATGCGCTGCCGCAGCTCGGGCACCGCGTGCATCAGGCGCGCAGCCTCCTCCTTGGTGTCCGCGCCGCCGCCGGCCTCGAGCAGGCAGACGGCGGTGCCGTACGCGTACGTCGCCTTCGACCACTGCCAGCAGCAAAGCCAAGCCACACGTCAGCCGCGGCGACACAGCGCGTGCGTGCGCACGCCCACAGAAAAAAACAAAGTGAAGCGGAGGGGGGCGCACCGTGGCCTCGGCGTAGAGCGTGCGCCAGCACGAGAGCGCCGCGGCAGGATCCCAGAGCGCGAGGTGCGCGACGCTCATCTCCCAGAACGAGATGTGGTGCAGGTTCCGGTACTGGTTCTGCACTTCCATCGCGCGCGTGTAGAAGCCGAGCGCCTCCTGCGGCTGCCCGCGGCACAGCTTGAGGCGGCCCTGGCCGAAGAGGAAGAACACGCCTGGCGGCACGAGCGGGTGGGCAGGCGGGCGTAAGTCAGCGCGGGAAACGCGGCCGGCGGGAGGAAGATGACGCACCGTTCGGGTAGCGCGCGATGTTGTAGTTGATGATCTTCTCGGCCATGCGCATGTCGACGCCCTCGAAGGTGAACGCGGAGAAGACGAGGTGGAAGAGGATGAGCGACATGTCGCAGATCGTGCGGCGCACGCCCTCCTGCTCTGCGTCCACGCGACGTCAAAACGGTCGCACAACAACAAAGAAAGAGAGAAAAGGGTACGCACCGAACCCGATCTGCGGCTCGTCCGCGTCCTGCGTCCAGCCGCCGGCCTTGTACAGCATGCGCAGCCCGACCTGGCGGTCGCCGCGGTAGCCAAAGAGCTCGATGAGCGTGAGCAGCCGCGTGGGCATCATCGACAGGATGAGGTGTGACAGGCCGACGCCGAGGTACACGCCCGAGCGGAAGTGTGCGTCGACCGCCGTGTCGAGCCCGCCCGGCGCGGCCGCGTCGGCCTCCTCGAGGAACCGGCCGAGCTGGCGGTACGTGTTGAACGCCGTGCGCATGTTCAGCCTGCAGGGGCGGCGGCGCCAGGTGTGAGCGGGACACGGGAGCACGGCACAAGGAGAGGAAAGGCAAAGACGACGCACGCTTCCTTGAGGAATGCGAACCAGTCGCCCGAGTAGGCGATGCCGACGAGGGCCTTCTCGAAGAGGGTCTCAGCGTAGACGAGCTCGGCGTGGCGTTCGACGTCGGTCATGCTCCTGACGAAGCCGACGCCGGACGTGTTCAGAGCACCGATGACGAGGCCCGCGAGGCGGGTCGGGAGCGCGGCGCTGCGCTTGCGGTGCTGTTGCGCGACGGCGTTGCCGTGCTTGACATGGCCGATGGCCGCGAGGAGGTCCTGCGGCGGCGGGCGGTTTCAGATGGGATCAAGAAAAATGGAGAACGCGCACGCGCACCTCGTCCTCGAATGACATCAAGCCCTTCACACACTGTATGAGCCCATATCCCGTGGCGAAGTAGAGCCGCTCCCTGCACGACACGGGTGAGAGACAGCGAGGAGGCACACGCTGCAGACAGGACGCACTTCTTGGGGTCGCTCTTGTTGCAGTACTCCTCGGACTCGAGCATGTGCGAGGCGAGGAAGAGGTGGAGGGCGTACGCGATGCCGGGCAGGTCCTTGGGGGCCTTCTTGTGGGCGTACGGGACCTCGGGCGGCGGCGGCTCGACGAGCCAGTCTGGCGGCGGGTATGCGTCGGGCATGGTGAGCTGATGTCAGGCTGCCGCCGTCGTGGTGGATCGTAGCAGAGCGCGGAGGCTGTCCTTGGTCGGGCGCTGGAATGCGGGATAAGGTAGGGACGCCCGAGAATGTCGATGTCGGTCGGGTATGCCTGGGATTATTGTCGGGGATATCAAGCGGAGGACATCCAGAGGAGACGTGAGACTTGCTGGTCGGATTGGGTTCGCAAGTCGAGGAGGGAGGGCAAGTCCGAACATGGAGGCCGGAAGATGACGCACGTTGTACTTGGACCATCATCCCGCCCATTGCCAATAAAGGAAAGAGGCGGTGAGCGGCTTGCGAAAGGTAGCCTCGTCCACGGCAAACATCACGATGCGCCGAGTGAAGGGCTTCTGCATGTCATTTCATTGCAGCGGATTTACCAACCGTGCGCGCATGACCCGCGGCGCGCGGCCAGTCGGGTATTCGTACTGTACAGACAACTGAACTACTACACATTTGACGAGGAGAAGAAGAAGAAAGAGACACGAGCGTAGCAAGACGTCTAATAATTAAGAGCTCGCGGCAAGAGTTCCCGGGTGACATTCGAAGCCTCCAAAACGAACAGACAAAAATTGAAGAGGGAAGGGAAAAGAGAAATGCAGCCAAGCAGACGAACAGAAACGACGGAGCCACAAAGCGCACAACAGAGCTAGAAATGATGGCAAAAACTAGAAACGAACGAACGAACGAACGAACGAACGAATCACGACAATCCATGGTGTGTCCAATACTCGTGCGCGTCCTCGCCCGCAGGTGCGTGCAGGTCGAGCGACTGCATGTCCGCGAGGAGCACCTCGTGCTCGGGCTGCAGCCGCAGGCTCGCCGGCGACCCGCTCGCAACCGAGAAGCACGCCGTCGTCGGCGACACGTCCCCCGCGCCGCCGTACTGCAACGCGTGCGACTGCGCCATCGCACCAGCACCAGCACCAGCGCCGCCGCCGCCGCCGCCGCCTTTCTGCCTGCTGAGCAGCGCCGCCGTGCCCAGGTGCGGCGAACTCGACGCGTTCGAGCGCGCACAGAGGCCCTCGGGTCCAGACCCCTCGTCGTGCAGGAGCATCGTCATGTTGCTCGGCACCGCCGCGAACACGCTGCTCGACCCGCTCCCGCGCCGGCGATGCGCGCCCGTGTACCCCGCCGTCGCCTCCTGCGTCCTGCTCGACAGGTCCTCCACCCGCAGGTCGTCCGCGCTCGCGCGCAGGAGCGTCTGCAGCCGGCTCGGCGCGTACGCGCGCCGCCCCCGCCCCCCGCAGTGCGACCGAGTGTCGACGTCGACGGCGGGCAAAAGTGCCGCTGCTGCAGCACGAGCAGCTGCTCGAGCTCGGTGCGCGCGGCCGCGAGCCCGTCCTCCGCGTCCCCGAGCCGCACGCGGAGCGTCACGTTCTCCTCGCGCAGCACACGCGTCGCGCGCTGCGAGTCCGCCAGCGCCGCGAGCAGCGCGCCCGTCTCCAGCGCGTGCTTCTCCTGCAGCGCCCCAAGCTCGAGCGCGTCCTGCAGCACGCCTCCGCCGGCGCGTCTCCGCGGCACGCACGGGGCAGAAGAGACCACCGACGTCGCCGCCGTCGACGCCGAACGCGGCGTCGAGCCCGCGCTGTCCGACGGCGGCGTGTCCAGCACGGACCCGCTCGTCCGCGACAGGCTCCCGCTCCGGCGCCCCCAGGACGACGACGAGCCGAGGTCCGAGAAGCCCGCGCGCGACGGCGCGTACGGCGAGCGGACGTCGCGCTCGCTGCGCGCCATTGCCGCCCCGAAGCGCGAGCCGGGCCTGCTCCCCGCCGCGCTGGCCGCCATCATCGCCGCCTCGTGCTCGCCGTCGAGCAGGCCCGCCGCGGCGAACGCCTTCGCCGTGCGCGGCCCGAGCCAGTCGAGCGGCCGCTTCGCAGGCGGCTCGTACGGCAGCCCTTCGTCCAGGCTGGAGCTGCGCGTGCGCGTGTACAGCCGGGGGCGGTCGCCGATAGCGTCCAGGCTGGGGCGCACGCCGTTGAGGCGTCTGCTTGCGGGAGAGCTCAGGACGGACGGCGGGTTCGATGAGCCGGATTCGGCCCCGTCGTAGCCTGGCGAGGATTGGGGGGACGGGTACAGCCGCAGGCCGCCGCGGACGCTGCCTGACAGCGTAGGATGTCGTGCTTGCGCCGCCAGGCGCAATGCTGCAGGCTTGCGCGATTCTTGGTCCGTGGGCGATCTGGTCTCCTCGCGGAGAGACGACTGCCTTCTCCGAGGCTGCTGCAGGCTTGTTCGTCCAGTCGACGACGAAAGCTCGAACGGGCGCTCCAAGACAGTGGGGGACGGCCGGTCTGAGGTTGATCGCGAGAGCCGTGATGACGCAGACGTAGAATGGACGGGAAGTTTAGATGAGCTAGGTTTGGATAGTGTTGCTATTTGAGAGGTCGAGGTGACTGATGTAGAACTGCGAGAAGAAGTAGAGCGCCGGCCGGCTGGCGCAGGCTCGCCGCCAGATTCAAGAGACGATAGTTTGCGTCGGGCACTTGGAGACGAAGGCGTAGAGCTCGTCCTGTTCCCAGGGAGCGTCGGACTCTGTAGTGGCGGGGGGACGGCGTCGATGGCAACCAGCAGAGCCGGTTCTGTCGTCTTCAGCTTGTCGGGGCTCAAGATTGCAGCAAGGTCTGCGTCGATTGCATTAAGGTCGAACGTCGTATTCGCGTCTCCCGCCTCGTCAACCGCATCCTCAACCACCACCCCGTTGCTCCACCCCTCTCTCGGCCCAGACCCGGACAGCGCAGCGAGGACCTCGTTGTTGAGGTTTGAAGTCGACAGCTCAAGCGCGGACGACTCTTGTGCTTCAGATGCGCTCTTTCCGAGGCTCCTCGCACTCGGGTTCGGTGAGCGGCTCGAGTGCAAGTGCGAGACAGTGTTGGTGTCGTCGAAGTCGGGGAGGTGCTTCGAGATGCCGGACGTCTCGGCTTCGAGGATGGTCGACAGCTCCGTGATGCCATGCACGGCGGGACTGGCAGCTGCAGAGACAGGGGTGAGTGTGCGGTCGCAGAGGAAGCCGCGGGTACGTGCCTAGGTAGTCTGTGGGGCTCGCTGGCATGCGAGACGACGACGTGGATGCGGACGACCGCGGGGACGCGTCCGGCGGCGTGCGCGACTCGGGGCGCAGCCGCTGCTCGAGCTCCTCGGCGGAGATGAGCGGCTCGTCGACACGGTGCGACAGCTCGATGGCGAACACCGGGAGCGAGTCCTGCGAGCGTGACGCGGGGATGACGTGTGCTGGCACACTGTACCCAGCATTGCTGGAACGACGGAGGCCGAGAGTCGGGCGAGAGGGCCCTGCAGAGTTTGAGGGGCTCGAGGACGAGGACGAGCTCTTGCCAGGGCCAAAGGAGAGTAGGTTGCGGAAGGAACGGAAGGGGGCAATGCCCCCGGAAGAGCCAGACGAGCTGGAACTCGGGGGTGGGTGAACAGGGCTGCCGCTGACAGCCAGATAGCGTGCTGGAGGCACCAAACCGAGGTGCGGGGAAGAGAGAGAGCTTGGCAGTGAGCTCTGGGATGGACGAGGGGCCATCACCGGGATTTGCGACTGCTTTGTCCTCGTTTCTGCTGCCATTTCGCGTTCCGGGAACGTATCAGAGTTAGAAGCCGGGCAGCGTGTGCATAGTATTAAACTAGACAGTATTGCCCTGCGCTGGGGCTGCAGAGGAACGACGTTCGGGGTAACGTTGCGGAAGAAATTTCCCTCCGGTGTTAACTTACCAGAGTAAGGGGGCGAGTAACGAACGTAAGTAGCCATTTCTTACATGAGCGTCTAATATATAAGCTACCGTAAGTACAAGTAAGCAATACGCGTTAGTTCAGGATAGCCACGTCTAGACTACAACATTGATATCCGCTCTGTCGGGACAATCGCGAGTGCCCTTCGGAGTATCAAAATGCTCTGATGTCCGCGTCGATCTTCGAAAACGGCAAGTGAAATTGTTCGCAGCGCCACTGCCCACCGCTGCACCTGCACTGAGCACTCGGACCGCTCCTGCGCCTGGCGGTCCGGCGTGTTCTGTCGAATGTGATTCTGAGTCAGGCTCGGCGAGTCGGGAGATATAAGTACGGCTCGACTCGCAGGACTGCAGCAAAGCAAGATGGCTGAAGAAAAGACCCTCTACACCTTCTTCGTCTACACGCCCGACTACACCGACCCAGACGCGCCCAACCGCAGGGCGGCCGTCCGGCCGAAGCACCTCGAGAACGCGAAGCGCATCAGAGCGCAGGGGGTCATCCGTGCGTCGCTCGATCTGCTCCTACAGTCGGAAGCTGAAGTGCTGCTGGACAGGACTTGGAGGCGCACTGATCTCGCCGGAGACGTACCAGTCCGCAGAGAGGAAGATGATCGGGTCGATGGGGGTCTACCAAGCAGAGAACATTGAAGCGGTGCAGAAGGTCATTGAGGAAGATATTTACTATACTGGGAATGTGGTGCGTCCGGACCCGTGCTTGCAGCCGCTTTCTTACGCTAACTCTGGTACCTGACAGTGGGATAAGGAGAAAATTATTATCCTGCCATGGGTGCCTGCATTCCCGCTCCCTCCCGTTAGCCCAGAATGAGTATTCGGCTTATCCGTGTATCATCGGAGCAGTCAGCAGCTTCTCTCACCCAGGCGCAAGAGCTACAACAGAGACTCAATATAGCTCTTATTGGCTGTATCTAACACCTTGTATTGGGATCTGCTGTGTCACTTTAATCAAGATATTTGACGACAGAAGCGTCCACAGTACTCTTGTCAAATCCGGCGAATAAAGGAGGTGTATGCGAGCGGGAGGCACAAGTGACGATGGAAGTGTATAGTTGATGGAATGTGCAAGGGAGATAGCCTGGATAATTAGTAGTAAAGGTGCGAGAATAAGTTACAAGCCTACGGATGTGTTCTGGTTTAATGGTGGCGGGACCTTTTTGATAGTGTTAATTCAATAGTCGAGCCCCGAAGAACCGACGCGAATACCGCCAGGACAAGGACCATGGCACTTTGAACATCGTGAAGCTGAGATGTTTTCGGCGCCTTCGTGGTGCGCAGTAACATAGATTCGTCAAGGCTCCGATCGCTGAAGGCCTGATGGCCCAATGATTGCACCAGGCAATAATCGCTATCGATAACGCTTTTGCGAATCATCAGAGGTAACGCCATCATGACATCGAAAGGTGAGCTATAGTAGCCTTTGTAAGCTGCCGAGAGATCACTCACATCCCATCCCATCCATCATCCTGCGTTATGCCCATACTGACTTTGCATGCGCCTGAAGAGGGGGAGCAATAACTTGAGGGTGCTACTAGTATGCCCCGGCCGGCTGCTTGTCACTGACATCTTCTCCGTCTACTCATGGGCCTTACTAGATTGCGAGGCTGTTCTCGGTGAATGTCGGCCTCGCTCCCAAGACCCTTCACTACGCAGATTTCCGGCGTCTGGTGGCAATGTTGGCCACGGCGACATTCAAGAAGAGAATATTGTCATCCTAGATGACTATGGCCGGGCCGGTAGGAGGAAAGAGATGCGATGCCGTCTGCCTGATACTTCTACTGATGTACACTGGGCCAACTTGAGGATCCGCGATCTTGAGCTCATCATTCAAATTGTTGCCGGGGAGCCCAACAGACGAGCTACGGTGCACAGCTTAGCACGTCCACATGACTGCAAGAAGTCGCCGTTGTCTCCGGCGTTCTTGCTGAACTTTGTCCGGTGTGTTCTGAACCCCACTTCGGTCAATCACTCGAAGCCATATTCGCGTTGCTCGCGGACGTGTTCCTGATAGGACCCAGTTCCTTGTGCTTTCCATAGTATACTACAATTTCCAGAACTCTAAGCTCGCCGCTGCCCTCTCGAATGGATATGCTTCCCCCCAGCCTGCGACGGCCGCCTGGCCCTCGCGCACCGCACTTTTGAGCTCCTCGAGCGCCGTGCGCGCCGCCTGGAGGTTTCCCGCGCGGCCGCTGTCGAGCTCCTCGCGCGCGCTCTGCAGCGCCTGCCCGACGTCGGCGTCGATCTCGGCAAAGACCTGCTCGAGCTCGCTGCCGGGCTCCCAGCAGAGGTGCGCCGCGGCGCGGACGGGCAGCGCGAGCACCTTCAACGACGCGAAGCCGAGGCCGACGCCGTACAGCATGCGCGCGCGGGTCAGGACGCCCCGGAGCTCGGCGCTGGGCGCGAGCGTGCCGCTCCCTGGGCGCCGCGCGAAAAGGCTCTCAGGCGGCGGCAGCGGCGCGGATGTGGTTTGTGCTAGTCTCCGCCGCGCGACGTCTGTGAACGTCGACGCCACAGCGGGCGAGCTGGACGACAGCAGGCCGCGGACGGCTGCGCGCAACCTGTTCCGCAAGGTCTGGTCAGCAACTGAATTTGCCCAGAAAATAAAAGGGAACTTGCTCGTCGGGGCTTGCATTCGCGATGAATGTGTCCATCATCAGGTTTCTGGTCAAAGCGGTGAGCACACGTCCGTGGGAGACCGAGGGTGTACTGACACATGTTCCAGAATGGGCCTGCGAGCCTGAGCCGTGCCTAGAGTTTGTGGCGCCGGCATGTTGGAATGACGCTTGCTGGAAACGCGGATGAGCCGGGCGGTATAGAGTCACAGGACCGGTGTAGCACGCAGGTTATATATCCGATGCATCCATTCTCCGACTCGCTGAGCTGACGTCCGGAACGCTTGATCCTCTGCGCTAGGGACCACGTACCTTCGCTTCTTGCGGCAATGCAGCTCCAACCATCACAGATCTCGGCCGTGTTGTCGCAAGGCTCTGCAGCGCAGGCACGGACAGATCGCGGTCTCGTGTCCGGCAACTATCAGGGGCACACTTTCAAGTGAGGGTGCCCTCCGCGGGATCGTGGCATCTATCACGGATGGTGATACGGATGTTGGCTCGCCGCGCAGGTGCTGTGCTCGGTGGATATGCCAAGCGTGCCTTTCCCCGCACCTCCCGTGGGACGAGTTGCAACTCCGCACCTAAATCCCCTACCATGCACCACCTCCAACTTTTGGCATCTGCGCTCCCAAAGCGGGGTTTACGGTCGCCCGTCGATGCACTCCCGGCCGCTGCCTATTCCCAGCAACACTATCGGCCCCCAAAGCACGAGGCCGATCCGCACAGAAATATCCC